TTGACTCTTTCACTACAGTCGCCTATTCTGGATTTCTCTTTGTCCCGCATGGTGTCTTGATGCTTGGCGATGTCTTTTCCTCTTGTTGAACAGTTGTCTGGGCCCAAGCATCTTCTTTTTGGTGTCTTTACTGAATCTAATAGTTTGCCCAGGCAGTATGCGAACTTATCGCTGATTCTTCCCACCTCCAGTCTCCTGTTCATCAAGCTTCTTTAGAAGAGGATGTCCACAACCTCCCTGATCTTCCCTTTCCTGATGGCGATGTGTTCAGCTGTCTCCGATCTTTCCGTATCCATTTTTCGGCATAGCTTCTGATGTTCTCTGATCCTTGTGCTTAGTTTCCTTCCCTTCTAATGTATTTTTGTTTATGGTCCCTACAGAAGATATCAATAACAAGATGTTGTGGCCTCTGGTATGGTCGCAGTCTCTTTTCGATTTATAGAAGTGGGTTGGCCTCGTTGTCGCAACTTGGTCTTGTTGTCAGGGCAACTGTGTAGAACGCACCTAGTCCGGAGTCGTCTACCAGAGTAGTTGTCATGATTACCAGCATCATACAGTGGACTTGGTACATCATCAGTGAGTTTTGCCATTCTCCACACCAACCTACGAACTCGTCAAAGAGACAAGTTAAGTCAATCCCTCGGCAAACGTTCTGCCGAAGACGGTTACCCTATCACTTGGTGCGGAACTGATGATGCCGACTATGACGCCGGCGAAACGTCTGAGAATGTTCCAAGTCCATTGTCTGATGCTGGGAATTATGACAACTACTATGACAGACGACTTTGGGCAAGGTTCATTCTACTAAGTCGCCCTGACAGCAAGACCAAGTTGCGACAACGAAGTCAGTCAACTTCTAAAAGTTTGAAGATATGAAGACCAAGATGTTATGGCCTGTGGTATGGTCACAGTCTCCTTTCGATTTATATAAATGGGTTGACCTCGTTGTCGCAACTTGATCCTGTTGTCAGGTTAGACTTATCAGAACGCACCTAGTCCGAAGTCGTCTGCCAGAGTAGTTGTCATGACTCCCAGCATCATACAGTCGACTTGGTACATTCTCAAACGTTTCGCCGGCTTCGTAGTCGGCATCGTCAGTTAGTTTTGCCATTCTCCGCACCAAGCTACGAACTCGTTAAAGAGACAAGAGTTCGTAGCTTGGTGCGTAGAATAGCAAAGCTCACTGATGTTACCGGCGAAACGTTTAATAATGTACCAAGTCCACTGTTTGATGCTGGGAATCATGACAACTACTCTGGCAGACGACTTCGGACTAGGTGCGTTCTACTAAGTCGACCTGACAACAAGACCAAGTTGCGACAACAAATTCAACCAACATCTAAAAGTTTGAAGATATGAAGACCAATATGTTGTGACCTCTGGTATGGTCGCAATCTCCTTTTGATTTATAGAAATTGGTTGACCTCATTATCGTAACATGCTCCTGTTGTCAGGGCGACTAAGTAGAACGCACTAGTCCGAAGTCGTCTGTCATACTAGTTGTCATAATTCCCAGCATCACACAATAGACTTGGTACATTGTCAAACATTTCACCGGAATCATAGTCGGCATCATCAGTGAGTTTTGCCATTCTCCGCTCCAAGCTACGAACTCGTCAAAAAGACCAGTGAAGTCAATCCCTCGACAAACGTTCTGCCGAAAACGGTTACACTGTCCCTCCTCCGGCAAAACTCACTGATGATGCCGAATATGCTGCCGGCGAAACGGTTGATAATGTACCAAGTCCACTGTCTGATGCTGGGAATCATGACGACTTCGGACTTGGTGCGTTCTACTAAGTCGACCTGACAACAAGACCAAGTTGCGACAACGAGGTCAACCCATTTCTAAGAGTTTGGTTTGCTGATTCGATTATTTCCGCTTGGCAGGTCCATATCATGCGATGTCATCAGAAATAGCGAATAGATTTAAAAGCAATCCGATGAATGCCAGTGTGAATGCCAGCTTGCAGAGGCACAATTGCCCCGTGTATTTGGCAGCTTTATCAAATATTGGCCACCTAAATAAATATTCCATCAGGTGAAATTTTGTTAATTATTTCCAATTCATGCTTTGTGTTTTGCGTAAATATAGATTGCTAATAGGGCGCACTATCTTTTCTTGATAGGTTGCAGTTCTAAAGTTAAGAGTGTCAAAATGGAGGTCTTCCCTACTGACACAATTCTCTTCAAGCCGGGTGACTCGATATCTTGTCGGGGCACTGATAAATCCGAATGTTTAGAAACTGATTATGAGCTGTTTCTGTCGGAACCATTGTACCATTATCAAACGCCTATCGTTTACCGGATCCGTTCACAGTCCACGCCGCTTATTTTAAAAAGCAGTCACTTCGGACCTCGGTATGTTGCTTGCTTCCAGAAAGGCCTGGCAAAACTGAGAAACGGCTCAGATTCTGAGTACAGTTTGCCTTATCCTGCCAACTGGACGATCTACATCGAAGTTAAGCCAATCGGAATGAAAATCTACGGCAACAAACCGGTCCTCTACCCTTTCGATGAGTTGACTTGTGATGGTGACGCCTATCCTTGGCCATACATCAACTGGATTCAGATAGCGGGACCTGGCAAGTTGTTGATCAAGTCAGAACGCCGACTCCTCGTGCAGCAGAATGATCAAGCTGGAGTGTATTCCTACATGTGCCAACTGTACAATAGGCATGGATTTTCCCAGCGTTATGTACGCTTCAGCCTAAAAAACGATTATCGCTGGTGGATGGACAACGACTCTTTCGCTATATTCGTTTCTGGTTTGAGTCTGACGTTGGTGATTCTACTAATGGTGCTCGGTTGGGCCATAGTCTGTTCCAAAGGCTCTGCACGAGTTTTTGGAGGATTTTAGGGCAGCGTGATTGCACAAATTTATATTTAGCTGAAAAGGTTGTTTTGATATTTTGGAAATTCCTGTGTCAAACAAGCAGACATACTGGCTTTTGGAGAGTAAATTGATGAATGAACATATATGATCTATTTTGCTGGTAGACTATTTATTAAATGGCTTGTATTTTTTATATACAAATGATAAGCGAGTTGTGGTTAATATCTTGAGCTAACATTATTGTGGCAACTTTTATTTCGTATAAAAGTGAATTATGAAGAGATTTGTAGGCAGATCTTACCAGAATACTACAGTCGATTCACGTTGTACTGAGGCCGTTTGACTTAATACAAAGTTCAGGTTAATACAGTCCACGAGGCATCCTTCCTCGTTTCCGGCGAAAACGGGCTAAGCTTTCGCTCCTCCTATAAGGAACATCATCAGAGCTGCGACTCATTCGTGTGCAAGTCCCAAGTTGACACAATTTCAAGAAGGTCTACTTATAAACGAAAAATAAAAATTGTAGACATGAAGACCAAGATGGCTTGGCCTTTTGTGTCGTCGCAGTCTTTTTTTGTTGTATAGACGTTGTTTGACCTTGTTTTCGCAACTTGATCATGTTGGTAGGAAGACTTAGAGGAACACACCTTGTCCGGAGTCCATTGCATGTATGATCCAGAGTAGGACCTTGGACGTGGTATATTCACAGTCGCTAACATCATAGTCGGCATCGTCAGTGAGTTTTGCCATTCTTAGCACCATACTACAACTTGTCAGAGACAAGAGTTGTAGTATAGTGTTAAGAATGGCAAAACTTACTGAAGATGCCAGCGAAACGTCTGAGAATGTACCACGTCCACGGTCCGACTTTTGAAATGATGTTCATACAATAAACTCGGAACTAGGTGCATTCCTCTAGGTCTTCCTGCCAATATGACCAAGTTGTGAAACCAAGGTCAAACAACTTCAATAAACAATATAGTCGATTGCTATAGCAAATACAACTTTTCCTTACCTACAATTCAACAATAGAATGGGATATGGGCAAATGTTTGGCATTCCTTAAAATACTCATTTGCATTGTGATCCGAGGGTACTTTTGGCAGTCTTGCGTAGCGGTTAACATGTCGTAATTGCACGCTGTGCTACCACAACCTGTATTCGAGTCCTGCTGGGGGGTGCTGGCGAGACCGAGGCTGGGCTGAAACTGGAGTACACTCTTGCCGGAATTAGATTACCTTTTGGGAAGCAAGGTTATGTAAAATTCAATGAAAGCGTAAGGTCTACTCAATTCAACCACCAGTCCTTCATCACCTTAACGAAATGGGGTTACAATATCTCATTATTATTATTATTAGAAACTGTAAATAGGTATAAACAGAACAAAATATCGAAAATCTTTAAC